TGTTGTTGTTGTTGCTGCTGTTGCTGCTGCTGGTGGTGTTATTGTTGTTGTTGTTGTTGTTGTTGTTGATTTTTGTTGTTTGTTGTTTGTTGTTTGTTGTTTGTTGTTTGTTGTTGGTTGTTGTTGTTGTTGTTGTTGTTGGCACGTGCATCTGCCGTCGCGCGGAGTGGAGCAAATTCGGAGCAGGCATGTGCTAAACCTCGAGTTTTGGCACGTTGGTGCACCGACAAAAACTTTGGGTTTGTCTTTCGCCTCGGTGCTTTCGCCAAAAAATGGGCGACAAATCCGAGATGCACTGTGCAAAACATATATCAGCTATCCTTTTTTGCACCGTTTTTTCCGATGTCTTCGTCTACGTTGCGCATTTCGCATCTTATTTTCCGGTGTTTTCCCAATTTCCGGTCTGCACTGTGCCGAGACTCGATTTTTCGCACATGCCTGCTTGGACTTCCATGTGTATTTGAGCTCCGTGCAAAATCGGGAAGGGGGGATGATGACGTCCATGCCAATGCGGATTATTGTGTTGTCTTTCTGTTGTTCTGCCTTAGTGGGGGGGATGATGACGTCCATGCGTACGGCGATCATGCTGATGTTTTATGTTGTGATTTCGAGGCAAGTCATTTGTGACGGTGTTGCTTTGATGTTGTGGTGGGTTTTTGACAAAGGCGACCGAGTCGTAACATAAGGGTGATTCGCTCTTGGCGGTTGCGATGATGATGATGATGATCGTCATCATCATCATGATGAAGTTGTTGTTGCTGACGACGAGGAGGATCCGTATGAGGGCGAAAAGGAAACCCTTACAGAACCCCACATACCGGGTGACGGGATATGTAGCCACTCGCTTCAGCCTCGTGGGCTTTCGTGTTCGGGTGAGGTCTGCTTGGCACTTTGAGTCTCAGTAAGTTTGCTTGGCATGGCTTCTCGGCTTTTGCGGTGTTTCACGTTTGAGGGATTAGGAATCAGTGGCGTTGGGGCTCTAGGACTTGCGATCTGGTTCTAAAGTCATGCGGCTGTTTGGACGCTCTTTGTATCCTCCCTCTTTCTATCTGTCCCTCCCTTTGCCTTTGTCTATCTGTCTGTCCATCCGTCTGTCTGACACGGGCAGCTCCGGCAGGAACGGTTGAGTGGTGTGGCAAGTCTCGCGATCTCTGGCTTATCTGTGAGACGACGCACAGTCCGTCTGTCTGTCCGTGTGTCCGTGTGTCCGTGTGTCCGTCCGTCCGTCCGTCTGTCTGTCCCTCTGTCTCTCTGTCCGTCTGTCCTGTCCGGCTGACTGCCTGTCTGTCCTTCTGCCTGTCTGCCTGCCTGTCTGCCTGTCTGCCTGTCTGCCTGTCTGCCTGTCTGACTGTCTGTCTGCCGTTCTGCCGTTCTGCCTCTCTGTCTCGCTGTCTCGCTGTCTCCCTGTCTCACTGTCTCTGTCTCACTGCCTCTCTGTCTCTCTGTCTGTCTACCTTGCTGCCTGTCTGCCTGACTGGACCTGTCTGGTCTGTCTGCCTGCTTCTCTGTCTGTCTCTCTTTCCTTTCTTCGGTACCTCCCTAGAATCCATTTGGTTCCCCCGCCCCCTCCCCCCGCCCCGCTGCGGTTCAGCATCGCATGTGTCGTCGTGTTGAGCCCGGAAGCCTGAGGTACTGCACTGCCAATGAGCCACCCGGGCTAAAGATGCGGGCGGTTTCTTGAGGGCAGGAGTTGGGACGAAAAGGTGTCCAGAAGGAGGTGTCGGGCTTGAGCCAAGTTCCTACAAGTATCCAAAGTCCAGAAGCCAAAGTGCTAAGCACAACCCATTCTTCTACAAAGCCAGAATGCCACCTGCTTTAAGGATGACATGCTGGGTGGCGCAATACGATGCGCCTGGGCGTTGTCTGAGGCTTTAGATGTTTACAGGGGTCTGAATAGTTGCCTAAATTATTTTGGGGGTTCCGTAATATATTTAGCCCAAAACCCATGCAATTCGAATTATCAAGGCCCTACTAGATTTTCCTTTTGGATTTAGTGCGGCGGGGTTTGGGGTGTAGGTTTTGCTCAGGTGGCGGCCTGCACCCTGCCGCTTCCCCCTTTCCACCTCGCGCGAGTTTGGTTTCCCTCGCTTGAGTCTCGCACTCCGTTGGCCCTGCTGATCGTTAGAGTCAGATTTCTGTTTCGGCCGTTGTCGTCGTTGTAGTGGTAATAGTAGTATTTATGGTGGTGGTGGTGTCATCTGTTCTTGCTGCTGCCCTTCTGTTTCCTGCTGCTGTTATAACTTATAATGATTTGTTGTCGGCCTCCTCCCCTACTTGGCTAGCCAGCTTGGATTTTACAACCGTCGCTCCCGTTTGCGAGGTCACTGTCTCTAATGAGTTCAGACGAACCGAAGACTTGCCCCTCAACACCACAGCCATGCTCCCACACTCCCAGTGACATGAATATCTCGAAAGCACAGCGCAAACCCTGAACCCTAAACCCTAAACGCAAAGCCCGCCCGAGGCAAACGGCACCATCGACTACTACTCCAGTTGGACGGAAGTCTGCGCGAACATGTCAGAGGGTCGCCCGGTTTGCGGTCCATTTTGTGTTTCTCTGCTCAGGGCCCGGCTTTGGTCAGATGGTAATATAGCGGCCTCCTTACTTACCTATACTGTACTATTTTGGGGGGTTCCTTATTATAATTATGGTATATTATTGAGGCCCCTATGTTAAGTGGGTATGTGGTTGCACCCATTTGGGCACCATGGTGGCAAATGGAACCACAGTAGAGACAGCATCCGCATTGTTGCCATCGCTATTGCCATCAGCATCGGCATTGCCAGAACGATGACCACCAGCACTGTCGGTCATCATCGTGCCTTTCGTCATCATCATATACGATCATCATCATCATCATATACTATCATCATCTTTATCATCATCATTATCATCATCATCATCATCATCAGAATTATCATCATCATCATCACATACTATCATCAGAAATATCATCATCATCATCATCATCACAATCGTCATTCTCATCATCACCACCATCATCATCATTATCTCCGTCTTCGCCTCATCAGCACCATCTTCTTTATCAGGCTAGTAGCAACATAGATTGGCACCGGTGTGAGACTGATGATATTGGCAACAGTTTTGGCCCTCGATGCTCCGACCTGTCTTCGTTGCCCTTACCTCACCGAGAATTGGGATGTTTGCTTTCTCTTGTGGTGATGCTTGTCGCCGCCCTTCCCGTCGCAGTATTATTATTAGCAGTAGTGGTAGTGCTGGTAAGTGGTGATGGTACAGTCGTCGTTGTGGTGGTGGTGATGGTGGTGGTGGTACTGGTAGGGGGAGACTTGCTGCGCAGTAGGAGCAGCATCAGATGGAAGCCTCAGGCAGCAGCATTATGTACATATATATACACATGTATAATGTTTTGTTTAAGTTTACTGTGTTGTGTTATGTTGCGCTGTAATGGATTACATAGATTATGTTATATTGCACTGTAATGAATTATATTGTATGATATTATCATGTTATGGTCCATGATGTTGTACTGCGCCATCTTGTAGTAGACATATATGCCTTTTAAGTATATACATATCTAAAAAACTATTGGTTGTAGATTGCTTGTTCGATACACCTTACATACTGTATAGTTCATCTTATCTTTTAGATACATCTTCCTTCTTGTATATTTTTGTTATATACTACCTATTGTGTACTATATATTGTGTAATATTTCTCGAAACTTTTGTAGCATGCATGCAAGTTGTAATATATTTTACATGCTATCTCTTCCCTCTTTTATTTTCTATTACATATTATATATTTTAGCTGCGATTTTATGTGTTATGTCTTACATCCTATATGGTACACACTTTAAGCCCAGGGTTTAGGGTTCAGGATTTAGGGTTTAGGGTTTGGGCTTTAGCGGTCTAGGGTTTAGGGGTTTAGGGTTATAGACTCTAGACTCTAGACACGGCGCGCGAAACCTCTGCATCAGAAGTACGATGTACAGTAGTATACTTGCGTATGATAAATTATGGTGATGCAGGGGCCTTAATAATTAGAATAAGGTTTTGGGGTATATGTTATACCACAGTTATATTCAGGAACCCTAAGAACAGTATTGGTAATTGTTTAGGCCCCCATATTAACACAGTATAACGAAAGCATAGTAACCTGCACCCTAAACCCTGAAGAGCCCCTTCCGGCGTGCTGATTATCACGAGCATCGCTGCCCTTCCGGCCCTCGCTGTCTTGACAAGGCTGCCCATGCGATGCCACGTGGGAGAAGAAGTGCACCAGCCATGGCTATTCGCTACTGGGAGCATTAAAGGGCTTAGGCTTCAGGTTAGAGATGAAGGGCTTCAGCTTCAGTGCCTTAGGCTCAGGCGGCTCAGGGCTCTACACCCAGACGGCTGCGGCTGGACTCTGGCAGTCTAGCAATCTCACTATCACCGGAGAACACCAAAAGTTGAAGCCCACCTTGGAGGGCTCCCGCAGCCGGGACAGACGAGCCCTCAGCTTGTGATGACCATGAGCCGCGTTTATCAAACAAGAAGAGCATGCAAGAATGGCGATCATGATGAAAGATGCTGCTCGTCGAGGTGATTCGGATGATGATCGTGGTCATGATATTTTTTCCCCTCCGGAGGGTGAAGATAAGGGTGATCCCAGGGATAATGACGCCGATGATGACCATCCCCGTGAAGACGGTGATGATGATGACGAGCGTCGCGACGACGATTTCGACCATAATGGCGTTGCTAGCAATGACGGCCATGAAGAGACTGACGATGCTGCTTGTCCTGGGTTCCTGTGGTGCATGATTCGTGTTTTGCCCGGTGCTGCATCTTGATTAGAATTAGAAGCCGTGACTGTCTTTGGCCCACAGCCCCGTGCGTGTGAAGGGCTTCTTTGTATCGCCATGGTCTGTCGAACATGCTCGAAAGGCCTGTCGCATAATCTAGGGGCCTTAACAATTAGAATAGAGTCTGGGGTACTTTATGCTATAATTAGAATAAGGAACCCCCAAAGCCCTATTCTAATTACTAAGGCCCCTACATGAATCTACCTTCAACTGCGTCATGGTCTCGACGAGCTTCTTTGTTCTTGTTGTTCTGAGCCAAGTAGTCCTAGACAGCGGATCAGGGGTTTAGGGTTTAGGGTTTCGGATCCCGCCTAATGTTGACTGAAGTTGTGTCAGGCAGTGGCAACAGCATGAGCATCCACCCTGTTCAGGGCTCACGTTCACATGGATTCGTTAGCCCTACACCCGCAAACCAGCCGAAATTGGCTTGAGGGTGCACAAGCTTGGCAAGACAAGCTCAGGTTCTGCGAATCGATCTTCAACAGCTGCGCCTTGGCGCCAATTTCCGAAGCCTAAACCCTAAGCCCTATACCCTAAACCGCTTCAGGGCTAAATCTTCGCTGCTGCATGCCCAATCCGAAAAGTATGTGCTTGGACCTAAGCGTGATGACTACTACGACGACTGCTGCGGCTGCGACGACGACGGCTGCTACTACTAGTGCTGCTACTGCTACTACTACTTAATACGACTACTGTTTCGAGATGCGCGCCTCTAATTGCTCAGGACTCAAGCTCAAAGACATGGCTAGTGGCGGCTACCGGGGTTTGAGGAGTCTAGTGCTCCCAGGAGGGATGCTCTGTATAGCCAATATCGAATCTCTAAGCCCCTAATTATGAGGCCAGACCTCGTCCGCAAGGGTAATGAAACAGACACAGCCTTGGACCACCCTGTGCACGTGTCGGCGATCATGCCTAGAACAGAACTCTTCAGCCTGCGACTAGCAGGTAAGTGAGGCGAGAAGGTCGACCGAGACGGGAATGGGCTTCTGAAGTAAGAAGTAGAGTTTTTCATTATTTGGGCGGCCACCATGAAGTAATCAGACTTGGTGCGTCAAGCGTCAAGGCATACCCGTCCAAGCACCGCGCAGCGTATGACAGACTGGCTGACAGACTGACCACCTTCGGCAGACAACCAATAACAACAGCAAGCCTCCGAAGCAAAGTCGTGCTTGACTTGCAAGAGTAGAGATGCAGACTCAGTCACGTTGGAAACGCAAGCAGAAGAGGGGTTGGATTCCATTGTGCTGGAGCAGCCCCCCAAACCCTTAGCCAATAGGGTATATTATACCGTATATTTAATAAGGAACCCCCAAAGCCCTATTCTAATTATTAAGGCCCCTATACATTACACTCCAAACCCTAAACCCCTAAACCCTGAACCCCCTGAGCCCGAAACCCTGGTGACGAGGCCCCGTCGACTGTGGAAACGCTTCTACGTGCTACCACTACATCTCAGGCGTGTGACGTACAGTTTGGGGTTGAGGGTCTAGCGTGATGCAAGGTGTGGGGTCGATTCAGCAATATCTGACCGAATATTGGGACCTTAATAATTGCCTATGTTATTATGGGGTTCCTGATTATAAGTGCAGTATAGCATACTCCAAAATCCTATCCCAATTATCGACTCTTGGGGTCATGAGCAGTCTGAGTTGATTGCCCTACTATGGGTGTGATACGTTGAAGTGGGCCTATAAGTGGGATCCTATTTTCGATTTAGAAAAGTCCAATCTTGGCGTGCCCAGGTGAGTTCCCGTTCTGTTCTTCCGGACGACATGAGGACACCCACGCTCTCCATGATAAGCCGTATGTAGTCTGCCCCAAACCCCTAAACCCTAAACCCTAAACCCCTAAACCCCAAACCCCTCAGCCCCTAAACCCTAAACCCCTCAGCCCTGAACCCTAAACCCCTAAACCCCTAAACCCTAAACCCTAATTCCTAAACCCTCAGCCCCCAAACCCTAAACCCTAGATACACAGCTATATTCCTAAGCGTCCCTACGCTTCAAGGCTCCTCTGCGACGCAAAGCCCTGAAGCCGCAGGCAACGAGTCCTGCGCCACGAACACCGGCTGCGTCTGTGAATCCAACGAGATCAGCTGCGCCAATCCGGACTCGGGTTGAGGGTGTAGGGTTTTTGGCTCGGGATTCCTTGGCTTGGGGGGTCAGGGCCGGGTTCGTGGGGTTACGATTCCTGTTCCTGTGGAAGGTTTTCCTGAGCCTGACTTTCGGATTCGCGCATGCAGGGTGCGGGTGCGGAGCATGTGTTGTGAGGCAATCTGTGCAGAAGCCGCTGTCAGCCTGTGCCTGAGTTGTTCATCTACATAGCATGTGGGGCCGGCTTCCATACACCCGACTTATGTCGCTTGGCTGCTTGAACCTTCTACTACCTTGGTCTCAGAGGGCCCGTGAGCCACAACCTACAACTTCCAGCAGCCAAAATTTTTCAAAGGAGGCCCAAGCTCTAAGCCCGAGATGTAAAGCTCAAAATCTCTGCAAGTCTAGGGTGGCGGTGAGAGACGGGAGTAGTTGAGTAGATTCGAAGGACAGCGGCCTCTCTGAGTGCTATCCAACTGCCTCTCGTCCTGCATGTGTCAAAGGGGTGTTTTTGAGTTCGCGTTTAGTTTCTTGGGGGATGTACGTTTTGTTCGTGGAGTTGGCGAAGCCCTTTCGGGCTGAGGGGGCCGGCGTCCCCGTCTGGAAGCCAGGTGGTTCAGGAGATATGTGCTTGATTTTCCTGTGGAAAGTTGGGGTTAGCTCTAGGTCAAGGCCCTACAACTTCTTTACTGGTTGAGGACTTCTGAAAATCTGAGAAGTGTTCCCTTGCCCGAGACTTCGCCCTAAACCCTCGAAGGGTTTGAGCCCTAAGTCCCTAAACCCTAAGACCCTGAAGCCCTAAGCCCTAAACTCCCAAACCCTAAACCCTAAACCCTAAGACCCTGAAGCCCTAAGCCGTAAAGGCCCAGAAGCCTTCAGCCCTGGGTTCAAAAGCCCTTCGCCCCAAAACTCTGAACCCCAAGCCATAGCCCTAAATCCTGAGCCCTAAACCCCCAAACCCTAAACCCTAAACCCTGAACCCCAAGCCATAGCCCTCGACCCTAAACCCTAAACCGCTAAAAGGGACCCGAACTCGCAACCCAGAAGCGCTCCTAAACCCCCAAAACCCTATAGATCGTTTTAAGGGGGAACCCCATGGTTTTGTGTTAAGGATTGGTATCCGAGCGGATGTCCCGTGACCTGCGCCCACCACGAGGTGATCTGCTCCCAGGTGCCAGTCCTTTAGAAGCCAGTTTGGGTTTAGGGTTTAGGGTTTGGGGGTTCCTCATAATAACTATAGTATAATGGGCCCCACGAGCCTACCAGTTTGGGGGTTCCTTCTCATCATAATCATAGCATTATGGGCCCCAAAACCCTATTCTAATTATTGAGGCCGTCCTGAAGCTTTTAAGCTCAGACGGTTTGATTCGATATGACAATAATAGAACATGTCTTGGTCTGGTAGTTGGGGGTTGTTGGGTCCAGGCTGTTCTGGTGATTCTAGTTGTTGAGGGTTTGGGTTTAGCGTTTAGGCTTTAGGGGTTTTGGATCTTTCGATTGAGTCCGTTCTAGTTGCCTGAGTAGCTGAGAGTCTAATTCCTGTAGAATTCCCTGCATCACTCTTGGGGTCTCGGCTACAGGCCTTTTGAGATTTGCGAATGGGCTGAAATTTTGAGATCAAAGCCGTAGTAAGGCCAGCAAGCGTTAGAATAGCAGCGCAGCATTCAGCTTGATCGAGAAACCTTGTTAAGACATGCCTGCTTGTGCTGGAGCTGCTGCTTGCTGGCTTCAAGCTTTGGAAGAGCCTGACAGGTAGCAGTCTAACACATTCTAGGGCCATATTACTTGACCAGGAGCTTGGAGCCAAGTGTAACGGAGTTCGTTGTGTCGCCGATGCCGCTAAGAAGATCCCACACCCTTCAGACCTTGGATGTGCGTTTTGTCCGCTACTCGTGCCTTGACCGAGGTGGAAGTGCGCCCGAAGCACCCCTGTAGAGGATAGTAGACTGGGCGCTGCGCTGTGGTGGGTGCGGAGGGAGACGTGTACCGTAGCTTTCTCAGCATCCTTGTTCAAGACCGGTTTACAGAGCCTCACCATCTTCGTACTGGAAGTACATAGAACCTATGTGTGCCCTACCCTAAACCCGAAACCCTAGACCCAAAATTCAAGACGAAGCAGGGTTAAGCTTCATCCGACATCGCAGAGCTCCTCTGGCTGGAGAGGTCTCCTTTTCCGCCGACGGCCTGATGCACCCCTGGCCGCCATATCGGGTTGGGCCGAAAGTTCAAGGAAGTCGAGGGGGAGCTCCTTAGACTAGAGTTCGGGGTTTAGGGTTTAGGGCCCCGCTTTCATCAGAAGACATCTAAACGACCTGCACTGCGATAGAAACCCCACAACGGCTCCAAAACTCTAT